ACAACAATACAGGAAATTGACAGTATTAATCATTACTGGTCATGGGCAGCATCTACACAAAAAAGCACACAGGGGCCACGACCTTGATAAGCGTTCTCACAATCGTTCAATTATAGTATAAAGACATTAGTTCATAGACATATCTATTATGTTTTGTTCTGCCACTACCGTGCATGAATCAAATACTCGGCAGATAGTGGTACGATAAAAACAGAAACAATAAAAATAACAATAATACCAATCTTAGTTTCCGGCCTCTATGTTGTTCCTCGCCAACGATATCGCAAAAACATCGAGTCCATTCTGAAAGGCAAAATCACAGTGTGTTCCATTGCTCTGAAAAAGGGGATCCTCCAATGGTCCTTTGCTGGTCGCAGATCGGTGAACTTTTTCGCTAATTCTGAAAATGGGGTCGATTCCGCATAGGGCCTTATAAGAACGATAACTATAATTGCTTGCCCGGTGCATTCGTGTCATTGCTCACGTATGAATATAGTAGTGTTATTCGTACGTGTTATCTGCACCACACCGTGTTATCAAGCATGTTCTATATTTTCATTTGATAGAACTTGTCGGTACTTGTTTTTGAGACGGCGGGTCGTTGTCCCCTTTTACGAGGCATAACGTAAACCTATAATTACTAACTACGAGTGCCCGTTTGTGCTCAGCAGAGTTAACATGTCTAATGAAAGCGGATTGCTGACAACATCTGTATGGACTTCTGTTAGCGCTCGATGTAGCCATATGAAGAAACACTTCCAATTACTGTTGTTGTTGTTGTTAAACCCGACTGTGAGGAAACAATGCATTTGTCGATATTAGTAACATACGGGAGTAGAGAGTTTTCTGATGCTGATACCCCCGAGTTCGCGTTGGTTATCAGTTTTGTTCAAGATCCCTCAGAGGTGTATGGCCATGTCGTCAATTCACGAAGTAGGGTCTCTTTTTCTTCTGTTAAAACCCAGAAACCTGACAACTCTGTTAAACTGTGTCACTCACGTCCCCTTGTGAGTGCGACGCTTCCTGATCATACGCTTGACTTTGAAAGAACAAATCTCACACTTATTTAGATTGATTATACTGGACGCTTGCCAAAGGGATGCACATCGTTTCGGGGCGATTGGAAAGCATGCTGTAGGCGTGGGCGTTCTTGTTAGACGACGTTTACGTAATACTAGGTCTATATGTGACCTATAAGTGAAAACAAATACTTAAATGGCCCTGCTGCTGGCAACTATTTGCCCTGTTCAGTTTATTAGGTACTGAGAACAGATCAATGAATGCTCCCATTTTGACCTTGTACAAAGGGAAAATGATTGAATTCAAAGAAACAATAGCCTATAATTTTATTAACTGTTATCAAGTAAGCATCATTTAACTTGTGAACTTAAAATTGTTCGAGCCTAAACCTTTCATCGACCCAGGTACATATGATGATTGTTATACGACCAATAGAGTAGCCAATGGACTCGTATCTTGCTTGGGATCAGGCCCAGAGATAGACCGCAATGCTGCCTATTTTGACCTCTCAGGTTGTTTGCACGCACTGTTTTTTGCCTTGAAAAAGGTTGACTGTCGTCTGCCTAACAGAATGCGCCTGAATTGCATCCCGCAAGTTTCCTCAGTGAAAGGAATTAACATGATTTTGATTGCATATAATAGTTAAATCGCCATTTAATTGACACAGAGATTAGGATTGGTTGAACATCTTAATCAAAGACTAACCGCACGTAATCCCATCCAACTTCTAAGCGAGCGATGGCCTTACGCAGGAGACGTAACATCTGTGAAGAATTCACGTTCATTTTACCTGCTAGAGAACGGTAATCACCATTGTAAAGCTGGACCACATGACTGCGAATGAACACAGCTCGAAAAACGCGGAGTCATTAATAACATAAACAGCGTAAAACTCATATCTATAAATGTATACATAAACGCGACAAAATATTCAACTTTTCACTATAGCAATTTTTAATTAACCAAATTACTTCACTCTGCCCATTCAGTATATTATAACTAATATTACTACGTTATTCTGGGGATATTGCTTGCTAGTTGTTGCGGCAAAATAGCTGCGACTTTGTTTCACTGTTATTTATAGAGCAAGCTTAGTTGGACGACGTGGTGCCACTGATAAGTGTTTTTCCAGATACCCACGAGCGACCCACGGGGTTCGATATCCGCATGCACCCAGCCGAAACTCTGTGGAGGCACTCTGCTGTTAAGCATCTAACGTAGTGGGGCCTCTTGTCACTACAATCACAAAACGTTTCTATTTCTGTTACTAGGCGCACGATTGCAGGCGACCAACAAGATCATACTCTTGTCGATGGCATCTTGTCCTGCATGTCTTGTGCTTGAACTTGTCAAAGTAGTGAAAAAGAAAGTCAAAATGGATTAATCATACGTTAACAAATCATCCATTTAGCTTGATATTTGTTTTATGAAATAACGCGATTCAAATACGTCTTATTGGAGATTCTGTCAGGCGTTAATCACGTTTACCGTAAGGACGTTCCCTGTTAGAATAACCAGTTGCCACTTCAACGTTGTCAATAATTTCGAAATTACTTTACTCTGCCTAGAACATATTTCGACGCTAGTTTAGGCGTCTCGTGATTGAAAATGCTATGATATTCCTTTGTAACAAAAAGCAGACATTTCTGTTTGTCGTATTTGCGATAGGTATGGTTTCCGATTTTTAGATTAGGAGGGAACTAAAATCACTCCTACCCTCAAAAGAGCGAATGTTCGTTCTATTCCTTATCGCTACTGGAGGCAGATAAGCCAAGATGATACGTTAAAGTTCACAAGCTGTAATTCAGTAATGATTACAGAATTTATCAGAATCGGTTAACTACTTGCCACCGTAAACGATGTCGGCCATAACGACTGCCTCGATCAGACGTTCCGTTCGACTGAGTAATCGCACGCTTTCCACAGCGCGTAGCGTACTAAAAATGAGTGACAGGCTATTGGCTATAGAAATGCCGATCGCGTTTCGTTCCCTAGGTACGCTACGGTAAGCTCAAAAGGTCAGCGTCTTTGACCATAACAGCCATTAAGTATAGCTATACGACGTCATTTGTGTACTCTTGAGCCGCGGACGATTTAGTTCATTCGGGGCGCAACCATTCACGAGCTGGTAGGGTGATTCATCGACGCCGAACGACAATTGCCTCATCAGTATATCTGATATACATGATCACTGATTATATGGTATAGTTATTCTCTGAGGTGGCATTTTAGATCATAGAGGTCGCGGTCGAGGGTAAAAGATGCTTTTTGCAAATGACCGAAGCGTTTTGAAGTTCCAGATTATTGCTGCGCTGCACTTTCGTGCGTCTGAAAGTTGCTGAAGTTTGTTGTAACAAAACGTCGAATATCCGAGCAGAGGACAGACATCGGAATCGGTTTATACACATACAAATATGACTTACGAAAGGGGAGATACAATATAATTCGTGCTGTATTGGGAGGGATATTCTGCGTAAGTCACACGATGATGATGGTTGTCATACGATGACGAGTTTTCTCTAAAGCTACAGTAGACCACGAAATATCAATGGGAAAAGAAGGGATGATTAGCGCTGAAAACCATCTGTAAAAGGCAATGCCCCACGGGGAGTCCTAGAAAAATAATGCGATAGAGTGCTTGACGTATGAGTGCATCTGTGCGGCACCATTACCGTGCTGGGTTTGATCCCAGTGGCCTTTTCTACAGCGACAAGAGACTGTACGTTTACTTCCAGTTTTAGATAAGAATATCAAAAGCGGCAGAGGGAATAATTGCGTAAGGTCCTATCGGACGACTTACTTGGCTTAGTTTTTTCATACGCCTTGTAAATACATTTTCGCCTGTCCGATCATTAATCACTCGATTTTTAGAAAAGCATATACACAGAGACATATCAGGCTTTCGCCAGACCTCCAGGGCCGTTGCGATGAGATTTGCCGATTCGTTTCCTGTCCTCGATCGGATTCGTTCAGACTGCAGAGCTCAATGCTAATCTTGTTATTGATAAGATCGTATTGAGCCTTCTTTTGGCGCTCAGTGGACGTTTGTCAGGTTCTACGACTGGACCACAGGGGCCTCTTAGAGCTAGTAGCAGCTCAACTTGGCTATAGTTGAATAAGCTATCGGGCAAAAGCGGCTCGCCGTGCAGACGTCAAGTCAGATACGTGATATTATCCATTTCACAATAGGTTTTCGTCAGAGGGTCGCAGTGGCATCGTATATAGGTCACACCCGAAGGCAATCGGCTGGATGTGTCGAGGTGTACGTCACTGAACGCGATGCTCAGTCGTGCAAACGTAACATAGCAGAAACAGCGTCAGAAAATGATAACGAAAGTTTTTACTAACCATTTATTGAGTGTTAAGCCAGGCTAATTTACTTAATTTGTCTGAATGCCAAACGGAGAAAAAAATATAACTAAGCTGAGAAGTAGCCAACCCTTGAGACCTGAGTGGAACTGGCGGCAACTGTTTAGCTCAAGAGCCTGTAAACGTCGTCCACAATGAGGACTCATTGCCCTAATTTTGTCCGCGAAAAAAGCGATGCTGCGAACTGGGATGCTACACGCGACGCCTATGAAGACAGAGGAAAGTCTTTGTATCTCAGATGTAGAGTCTGGGTTTGTCTAAGGACTGGGCTTTATAGGATGCTTCTAATGCTCAACGGGTGTTTCATCAGTGCTTCGTAGTAATTTTTCAGTTCGGCTAGAAATAAGGGTTGGGTCGAATGTGAGCAGAGGACAATTGCGAAAGCATAGAGGTTTCCAGCACAGAGATAACTGTGCTGTCCATGATATCTGTCCGTGCTATACAGTTGACTCATTCATTGATTTATTGTAAATGTCCAGGGGGTCTCGCGTCGCCTGTTAATTTCTGTGTACATTGATTCTGTGTACTTGTAACTAGTAATATTTGATAGCTAATAATTTTTTTTGAGCTAATATTTGAGCTAATAATTGTGCCATCTTTTGATCTTGCAGGGGAACCATTGTTAAGTGAAAATTGACTAGGCGCTTTTATCGGTACAGTTTATCACTACGCTTTTTAGCCCCCTGGAGCCGCATTCAAGTATTTAAAAAATCACCCCAGACGACAAAGACGGAATGATCGACGAAAATCCAGATTTTACTCACGGTCTAAATTGGAGCGTGGACACGAGCTTCAGCAGGAAAACGTCGCTACTTGAAGACGAAAGGGAACCGCTCGAACTAATGCTCGACTCCGATGTCACACAACAGTCCAGTAAGTAAAACGATATATATATATATATATATATATATATAGTAAACGTGAGATCTCGTCTGAAGAATCGAGCCGATTTGTTTCGATGAAATCGCAGCATGTAGCTACTCGTTGCGATAAACATTGACGCGTTTGCAGGTATACTGTCCATTAGGATATAAGCGCAAATCCGTATATATCAAATACCATTTAAAAAGCAAAGTATTTTTTTAAATTGTCCTATGGAACATCGTGGTATGGTCTTAAGCATTGCATGCCAGGTAAATAAAAGTGGAAGATTACCAACGTGTCTACCGAGATTGAGAAAAGATTGCTACAGAATTGTTTTGCATTACGCATCCTGGCCAAAATCTTTTTTTTTTTACGAAAGTCGCATCTTTAGAATGCCGTAATTGTGAACTTCAGCTAGTAAAATATTTAATTCATTTTATATAGTTATTCTATTAATAGTCATGATCCAAACGTTGTAGATTTGGTTATGTGCGTCTTGTCAGACCATACTTGATCTATACTACCTGTTTTCATAGCAATATTCATTAATTTTTGAATATTAGGCATAAACACAAATAATATTTGGTAAATATACAAGACCGCATGGCCACGTTTTGATTTTGGTGTGACGATAGTAAAAATTCAGCTTGGCCAGGTTGTATGCTATTCATATATGTGCGCAATTGTTTTTATCGAACGACGCTTGGTTTTACCTGTATGGTCTCCGAATGAAGTATAGCCCAGCGGGCGAGTGTTTATGCCGTTGTGTTCCTTTATAAAAGGCCGTTAATAGGGCCCAATTGGATAAACATCAATTTAGATCTATTGAGAGACATCTTTCGCCACCTCGATTGACAGCGTACTCTTCGTAACTGGAACTCTCATTGGACGCTCCTCTGAACGCTCCATGAGCAAAAAATGAGCTCGGCTAGTGCTGCGTGTTCGTCATTAGGAGAGATCGTCAGAAAAATCGAAATATTCCACCCAATTAGAGTATACCCATGTTCCTGTTTACAGATTCTGCTTGGACACAATTGGGCTGAACAGTTTTGATGGTACCAAACGCATTAACAATATGTTTTTTAGCTTTTAAAGGACGCTTGCTTAATCTGACTGGCTGGTGAAGGTCATCAAATGGGTGAGTTTTGCAAAGTCGTTTATGGAACGAGGTGCATTACTACTCGTTCACGGATAATATATGTGATGTTTGTAAGATGTATTGACGATAGCGAACACGAAATATATACAAATGGTAAGTTTGCGGGCAGCATAGAAACTTAATTTGTACATTACGCTGTTCTAGAAAAGCGGTTTTCAATTATTGCAGTGTTTTTTCTAACTTTAAGTTGATTTTTATTCTTATTATTTTCGTTCAACGATTGCTAGCAACAATGACATGGTTTCAGTTCTGTGCTAGGTACTCAAACCAACTTGCGCCAAGAAGCTCTGCTCATCGATGATCTCTATTATCAAACGAATTATTGATCGATGGCTACTCTTGAGTATTGATTGTTGAATTGCAGTGGACTCCCTCGACGGTTTCAATTCAGAAGCGGAGCTGATCAAACTCGAAAGATGTCGAACAATACCTGTCTCGGCCCTCTACGATGCTATGCGCCACGCCGAAGAACGAAATCGACAAAAATTAGCCAGCAGTACGTAATCGTTAAAATTTACCCCACAGCTCTTCAGATTTCAAGCTGAGTTACTGCATCGTACATTCGCATTAGTCATTTCCTGAGCAGACATGCTCATCCTAAGCCTACGACGAACGCTAGGACTCCTCAGCTGACACGTAGGGGCGCATCGCGGTTCCGGATGCGCGATATAAAGTGTGTAAGTGATGTTAATATGACGTTGGCCAGTTGACAACGGCTTCACCGATATGCTAGAGCTCCTTTTCTTCGAGGTGCAGAATCGCCTATTGCCCGTTGATTGTTCGCAGTCGGCTGCTGAGCAGCAGGTGGCGTGACCATGACTGAGTCATCCTTTTCCTCTATATATATTTGCTTTCACGTACCTCACCCCCACCGAGAGAATCAGCGCGGGAGAGGGTGTATAGCTAGCGACTCTGCCTTAGATCGTTCTAGTCGTCAGTCACAACCTGCCCGTACCATCCTGTATTGTGCATAATGGCCGGTTCGTGTAAACGGAACCGCTTAGTTCACTGGCCTTGAACATTTTTGCCTATAGACCCAAAAAGGGAGATCCGCCTTCATTCAATAAATGCTGATATTGATATGATTAAGGTTGCTATGTATCTGTGCATAGTGTTATGCATATTCGTGATTAGTGACTATGCCAACTGATTGATGTTGTGACGTTCAGTTTCAATGGAAGCCAGTCAATATACAGGTAAATGTATGTTTCCAGAAAAAGGCAAATCGGTTCGCCTGGTACCATTCTTTCCACTATAGTGGTCGAAGGCTATGGGCGCGTTACCGGTCCGATGCCCCTAAAGCCATTTTCCTGACCGAACCATTTTCAATTTAAACCTTCAATCAAATTAAAGTTAAAAATACCTCTTGTCGCATGCATATGTTGCGATCCACTGAAAGTATAAGTCGGAACGACTATATCAAGAATAAGTGAACAAAGCGACAGGTTCAGCCATTACGTATTCTGTTTTCTGTGTATAATTTAGTAGATGTCGTAGTTGTAACGGGCTTGTGTTATGTGCATGCTTGCCTTAGTTAGTACGTTGTGACAGGTATCAATGCCACTTCGTGCTCAATGAGGTTCCGATAGGTTAAATCCCCTCGATTTATGGTTACCTGCCGTGCTGGCCGCAGCACATAATAATATCGGTGACCTACATATAATTAAATAGGTCTCTTGTCCTGATAATGCAAAGCTGGTTTACTAATTCTAGCTAACAGAGAAAAACGAAAAACAGTTTATCAAGCCAATCTTTGCTTAAGACCCTGTCTAAGGCAATTATGTAAGGAGCCTATGGAATACGATAGTGTACCGCTGAAAAGAAAAGTCTGTTTAAAAGGTTGCTGGACTTTTCTCTAGCAGACTTTCCACTGTTACCTTTAAGCACAGATTTCGAATTCGGGCATCACTAAGATCTCCCACCTTTCTCGGCGCTCCTGAAAGATCTGCCAGCAAGAATTACAAAGCCCAGAAACCTGGTCGAGGTAATTTTCTACACTGACAACGTAGCTATTGACAACGAATCCGGTTCCAAATTCAGCAAGCGTTAAATAGACTGTACATAACCTCAGTAGAGCTCGGTCTAACTATGCCAATGGCGAAACTGTTTGCAAAGAGAGCGCGGACCGCTTCCCAAGACGCGCTTTCTCTCGCAGGGCCGTCCCTTGCCTACGTAATCAGTTTTCCTCAGTACAGGCTTCTTTTTTTTGTCCAACGGTAGAAATTTTTCGCTGCGCTGCGCTGTGCAGAGAGAACGGTGGTGATACATATCTTATCTTCTCCCAGTGGTTAGCGCTTGCAGGCTGAATAGTCTCGATGGCTACTTATCGTAGATGTGTTCTCGGATTTCACCACATAACACGAAATCTTCTAGTCATCGAAGCTTCTAGCAGAACTATCTCTATTCATGGAAGACTTGAAACGACGGTTCAACCTGCCGCTAATTCCTACCTTCAAGGAATATTTCTTGGCAGGTCAAATTAGTATGTTTAGAAAACAAATTGACAGAACTAGACGTAGAGTTGTATAAGTCTGGACGTATGTTGAAACATGCATGGATGATACTAAATCGGTCCATTCACCATGTCGCGCGATGCATGGCTTGCACATTAGCCATGTGTTACCCTAAATGTTTAGAAATTAAATGAAATATGTATGTGTATCAGATTCAACGAACGGTGTAATCTATAGCATACTTCTCTGATCTCCTACCTCAAAAACACCTACCACCTTAACCAACCTAAAAGTGTTTGTTTGTTTGTTTGTTACAACAAAACGGTTGTACAAGATCTAGTTAGTAATCTAATAGTTTTTGTGATCCATCTGACAAAGGTCGATATATTGTATTGAACTGGAAAGTACCATTGCTGAATTGTCACCCAGTTAAAACTCCATATCTATGGAGAAGTGGGATGACTTAAGGATATATAACAACCAAATAATAATGACAATTAAAACAAGACGGGACGCATAGCTAAGATTGTTTCATGAGTAGCGTTTTTAGGCGAAAGGAAGAATTACTACATTCGTGTTTTTTACTTTTAGAAGAGACGAGGGATCCTTCGGCATGATCTCTCCGTCAGTTACAAAGGTGTTCTCTTTCTACTATGTAATAACTAATAGGTCGCTCCTTATCAATGAGCTCATTGGGTTCACTATGGGATCAGGACTACAAGCAACGGGCTACTGACTATACTCGTGAACTTCAAGAACGCGAAAACACAACAAATGATGATGATGACAAGTTGCCAGACAAAGAAAACGCCGACCCGGGCGTGCTAGTGTCGCAAAAGGAGCAAAGTCCTCCGATTCCGATCCAGCATTCATTCAGATTGTGAGTAATTGGTTTTCATCAAGCGGTTACGTTTATTAGCTAATACGCTTAAAGACTTTCACGTGAAATGTGTATACTATATTTGGTTGACGTGTACGTGACCGCCTACAAGAGGCGGTCACGTACACGGACAGTATTGCTTGAAGGTTAGCAAACATACAATACATTGTTCGTTGTCAAGATGCTGTATTAGATACATATCATGACAATAATCACAATTGAATTCCGCAGGCACACCCCGATCCCGGAGGAAGACTGCTGCAGTTCCGGCTCGAACGAGAGCATCACGTACGTATTTATGAACCCACAACCCTTACCGGGTAACGGCCAGAGCGATTGCAGCGACATGATTTCGTTTCCAAGTTCGACCTCCAGCACGTTTGGTCACCCGCTGATTTCCGGTCACGCGCCCGCCTCAAATCCAAGCTCGACTTTTCACCATCGTCAGCACCAGTCACAGAACACTTCACGACGAGTCATCAGTAGTGATAATGATGATTATGAAGAATTCGCCAAGGTAAGCCAAGGGTGCCGAGACCCGATAAATTATCCGAATATATGTTGTGCATAAAGCTAGTAAAATATGCTCATAGCTATTTTGCAAAGCGCATTTTGCATCTTTTTTTTAAGCGGCTCCTCTATCACCTATACAGTATAGTGATACGTCGTCACGTTTCTTCTTCGTGTAGAGAAAGTCTTCCGGCCTTCCCGAAAGTCTGCCACATGGTGTCGGTGAACAGCCGCGCACCCTCTCAATGGACTCAATTGATGTTGAACACTGTATGAACTTCATCAATCGCGCGGAACTTCTACCGACTCAGCACGAAAATTACCAGGATCCTCAGATGACACATGCGGGCTACCAAGAAGCTCCTAATGGTTACAATGTCGAAACGCCGCACACGACACTAGAGCGACATGGAACGGCAGCGGGACGCCGTTTGCACCGAGAAAATTCCGGTATCCATATCGAGAGCACTGATCATGAATATCCCGGTATAGAACCAACACCTTACCAAGTGGACAGCGCCGCCACCGATCTGGAGACAACCGGACCCGAATGTCCGCCACGGCTTTGGAGCCTGTTGCATCGCCCGCAACATCACCCCACGCACAGCCACGACTCCGGAAGTGACTATGATGGTAGTAAAACCAAAAGGGCAACTGGGTTTTGATCTGTTAAGAAGTTCATTAGGCGGTAATCTAATCTTACTAAATGGTAGTTTTTCGCAATCGTTCTTAGAAGATCTCAACATTAACTAGAGCTATTGCTTATATGGCCTAGACGTATCATAAAATTCGTTTAGTGGGTTCTATTACTCACGGCTGTCATTAGCGGGACCAAGACATCACGACTGTTGAGCTACATAATTAATTATGCGCGAACAGCGACCTCTAACTGGCACTATGTTGTATTCAATGGCTGTTCAGGAAACGATCTTCCGAGTTACCGAGTGGCCTCTCTACAGCGACCTCCGAGCCAGGTTACACGTCGTTCTTCGGCGAAAATTCGACGAAAGCCATTGCGAACCCGAGCCATTGAAACGCAGACTGATGAAGACTTGACTGGATACTCGTCCCAACCTTCTTCACCTGGTATTTCGCGCAAGTGCGTATCATTGAGCTGTTAACGAACGCAAAGATAATGAATGAAAAAAAAATATATTATACGCCCACTGATTTTGGAATTGAAATTCCGTATCTAAATACGGACCTGTATGACAGTGTAACAAGGCAGTGATATCAGCTAGATCAAGTAAATAGGCAAAACTAGTGCTAAAATCAGTTTGTACCAGTGTAATCAAGCGATTAAAATTACTACTTTTAGTAGCTAACATCCTGTTTGGAGGGCTGTTGTTATATTTAGGAGTTTCTCCGATGAGAGCTATGCACTGATGCGTTCGATTACTTCTGGGGGTCCTCTGAATCAAGCTACCGAGCAACTTGCGGCACAAGGCCATCTTGAACCTGCTGTTCACCTGCTCACCGAAGTTGTTTCACTGATGAAAATGATGATGGCAAACTTGCCCTCACAGCGTTGTCGGGACTGTCAACGATGTAAATGTTGCTTGACCAAACGCCAAGATCCGATATCTCTTGACGATAGGCCTAATTCATTAAAGTCTGTTGAACACCCGAATTTCTTGAATCTGTCTTCGTAAGTAAAGCTACTACTTGGCTTAATCGATTGCAAGCAGAAGTGTATTTTGCAACAATGGATTCCTATAACAGAAATATAGTTGTCTGATTCCGTTGTCAATGCAATCTATAATTCGTATATCGCTTTCTTGAATTACTAAATACAGTTTCTCATTTCATATAATCCTTGACATCTTTTGTCGAATTCAAGCTTGTCCGACACAGCCAGCAGTGATCCTGAATCAACAGGCCCAGCTGCACCTGCTTCAGCCACTACCCCCTCGACGGCGTTCCGCGAAGGCTTTCTCATTGAACGATTCCGCCAGTCGCGACTAGACCGTATAGCAACGGCGTGTAGCCAAAGTGAGCTTGACGCTGAACTCGATTTAGGCGCCCCCGACTCGTTGACTTGTGATGCCAGGGAGGGCACACATCTTTCGGGAGCTTCTACACCGACCGATGAATTTCGAGCCTTTCCTAGTCTCACCCAGCTGACGATGCAAAAAGCAGCACAGACGGGCTGCATCGGAGATAAAATGAGCCCAACGTAAGTTGATGAGAGAGACAACAGTATGAATTGTTTCAGAGTGTTGCGAATGAGTTCTCAAGTTGAGGTTGCTTTATTGATCAGTCGTCTACTGCATGATTTGCGAGCAACGTATATTGTCATACCGATGCTATTAAGAAAATACGAAAAGCTAGTTTATACTTTTTATATATGTTTATATTAAAGAAAAAAACATATGTATTATGCTATTTGGTGAAGCAAGGTGAATTGCTTTCCCCATAGGACTCGTCAAACATAGTTTCTACAATCTGTTTTAGGAATACGGCGGACTCGGGTATTAGCAACCGCTGGGAGTCTCATGGCAGCAGCTGCGGATCAACAGGCTCACGAGGTAGAAATGACACACCTGCGGTATGTCTATTCTCTATAGTACTACTGCATCGATAGAAATATGAAAATATCTGGAACTTCTAGTTGATAACGATGTTACAATACATCCAGTGCGTATCCCCATGTAAATTAAATTGATGAGAGCGTCTCCCTGTTAAACATATGCTAACGTTTTACGTTTCGTTGACGATTTTTTATCTCTAATATTGCACGCAGAGTTCTGAATCGATGAGCGGTGGACCATCTTCACTGTCATCGCCTGACAACACGCCAGACTCATCACTTAGCCGTGTGCGGACCGCCGAGACAGAAAGCCCCGTTCTCACGCACTGGGCACAATTGGCTGATGAGCCCGTTCGAACAAGCACACCTCTATGCAGCCTCACCACTTGGGTGGAACAGGCAAAGCATAACGGCCGACCCTTCGATTATTATAGTGACCAGAACACGCAAGTCCCAACCGTTCACGCAAATTCCGGAAATGGCCCGACTGAATTGAACATCTCCCGCAAAACAGCCCGTTCAAAACTTTCTCGTTACGAGTATTCCGTTGATGAGCTCGATTCCATCACAATTACCCCCGCGCGAGAAGTTACCCGACCATCAAAGTTAGCCCTAATGAAAGAACGTGAGCAGCAGGCGGAAAGGTTTCGTAATGAAGAATGCAGGAAGCTGCCTTGGCAACTGCCCCTCGAAGATTGTCAGCACCTGGACTCGCCGAAAAACAAAAAGCCCCTCGATGAACTGAAAAAGAAATGGCAAATACCGTATGACCTCATCCCTAATGATAACTATCTTCCTTTGCCAACGCATACACGGCTTCGCTGCTCACCGGGTGCTCCACCGCAGGGTCTATAGATTTATGTAGTCATAAAAACGTCTGTTGCAAGAAAGTAGCCAGATCGAATGAGTCTGAAAATCCTATAACGAATTCCCAGTTACAACATAATATAACATGGTCTCATTCACCGATGCTATCTATAACCCCAACCTGTACCTAGCCTAATTTTGAACACACTGTAAATGTCAACCTTTACAGAGTAAACTTGTAAATAAATTTTACTTTATTGAAAACATATAATTGCTTGGTTAATTTTATAGAATTCGCAGGTTGATTCGAGGGAGGTCTGCTGTTGTCGCAACGATCAATCGTTAGCCTTGATCTTCGACAATATTGTCAAGAACCGGTTTGTTTAGGTAGCGCCATTATCTGGATATATCAGAAAAGAAATGTAAGACTTCCACGCCGCATGTTTGTCCGAATTCATCTGCTCATATCTCAAGCGAAGTTCTCTCATGGAAAGGCCGAAGCACAGTGAGCGCTAGTGAGATACCACTCTGGATTAAAGCGTTCCAGAAATGCTTTTTAAATATTTATATAGAGACATAGAATAGAACATGTAAATGACGGTAATTCATTTCTCTAAAGCCTACAATTTCTTCAGAGTACTTCTTCCCGCCAAATTCCCTGAATTAGAACAACGCCCGGAGTTCGTTAAATAATGGCGTTATTTATTAGGTAATCAAATTGATCCCTAAACGACGGTATTGGACCATATCGAACTGATCACGAATCAACTTCTTCACTGCTCAGTTACCTTTACTACTAGTATCTATAGCAGCGAGATAGTTTTACTAATTATGTTGTAAATAAGAGGTACAATACTGACTACAAAGTAAGGCTTTGAATATATGAATGTTGTCGGCTTGTGAGCGACATATTTTCTTCGTGAAATTTCTTCAATTTTGAGTAACAACGGATAATTAGCCATCGTTTATTAGCTAAACTGGGTCCAGCCACAGAGACTTTCGCATCGTCCTTTTGCTACTTAACCGACACGATATCTAAAATGTCTTCGATAAATGTCTAATACAGACACGATCGGTATTTTTATTGAACTATTCATTTTGGGTTAGTGTTTCTTCATAGTCGATAAGCAATTCAAAATGTCAATGCTGATTCAATATCAGTACCTTCATCGTCAAGATACGTTTTCGAAAAAATAATCTGACCTAACAAAAACAATCCCATAGAGAAGACTACACGTGATTCGGACATAAAGTTCGCAAATGGGAACTTCCCTTATCGATCCTTCAGGTATCTCGGCCTCGGGGCTTCCTGAGCTATTACCGGTACTTTACACTTAAGGTCTCTTACTTGACGCTTTTTTTGCCTTCGTAACCCCTGCAGTCAGGAATGACCCTCAGCGATCGCATTCTATTGTAAATTCACCTTAGGCTTGCTTGTTCATTGTAAGTCATGTCGAAGGGTCGTACGAAGTCAGGCCTACTTCCTCGGCCAATCAGTGACTTATTCGGTCGATCTGTCATTGGCGAAAGCCGTGTTAAAATTATTGACTCATAATTGAGATCAAATGAAGATATAAGCCAACGTATTCAGTAGCAGCAAAATGTACGGTATGTGAGCTAAGTTCATCGTACCAAAGCTATATCGGTGCGGGTTTTGCAGGGGCGATTTCGTTGTGAAAGACAACAACGAGTTGGACGTTACCCACATTCAACCGGTCTTGGAATAATTTTCGACACTGTTTGAGACATTTTGTTTTTAGAACAATTAAACCTAGTATCAAGCCAATTACTGTAGTTGTTTAATTGTTTGATATAAAATTTTAATAATCACCTCCTATCCATTAGCTTCGATGATCCACCTCATTAAGAAATGCCTATCTTGAATCTCTATTACACCAATAACTTTATAAATGGCGTGAACGGGCTTAAGGCCTGCCCTTGCCCAAATCAACTAAAGCAATAAAAGGTCCTTATCATTGTGTTAAAACAAATGTTTTGCGCCGTACGCCCAGTTCAATAATTAAGCATTATCTCGAGCAGCTAGCTTCTAAGACGAAATAAAACCTGTTATCTTCATACTTTTACCACTAATATTTCCTGTAACTCCGGAAGAAACCGCAAAACAGGGCAAACAAGCCCGTTTCAGGACCATCTCTATCTGTGACCTTAATTCTCTAACAAGCGCACATGAGATTCGCAATGACAGCAGCATTTATGATTATGTACCGCTGTAGTCTTAAAGTGAGCCACCAGCGAGTACAACCACATCAACTCTAGGACAACGGACGTCTTGTGCGATACTGTGTATATGGTACTGGTCTGGTGGCTTTAACTAAACGATGACTACCGCCCTCAACAGGGACGCCTTCCAGTTTGGCCTGCTACTCGTTTGAAGCTCTGATTCTTCATTCTCCATCTTCGGTGCCGCTGCTGCTGCTGTCGCCTTCTCCGGTGGGTCTCGAATGGAAGGTGGTATCGCGGCCCTCTCGCAGTTTAGCGCGGCTTGCGCAAAATACACATACACCTGGCTCGACTGTCGCGGCCGCCAACTAGGCCAGCGAGGACCATTACACATAGATGTATCTCGACTGTGGTCAATGGTAAAACGAAACCGGGGGGCACTTGAGCCCGATAGCTGCAGCAGCAACAAGCCCTTGTGGTAGTTTGTGCCGTGTTAAGAAGCGCGACAATTGCCACTGCAGCTGCTTTGGTCTCGAACTAGGACCCGCCAAAATGTTGTTTAATTCTCCCACCTTCTGATCAACGTGCGCGAAACGACAGCTCGTCATCGAATGGAGAAAGGCGAAATGGTCGTTGAGCATCATGCAGTAGCCGGTGTGGATGATGCGTGAGTGACTATGCGAATATTACGGTCACCTGACTTACTAAACAAACCCGCTTCCTTCTTCCATTTTCATAACGTACATCTATAAGCATACGTGAATAGGTGCGCGTGCCTTATAATTAGTGTGACTAATATGTCGTCAACAAATCTTAGCGCTACTGTTGGTGTAGAATTAAGGGAACGACCAAACAACGACAGGGCAGTCATCTTGTAATTTCTATCGCCTCCAACAAGACATGTGATGGACCGGAAGCTACATTGTCTGTGCGGATATCGGCAGGTGCCAGTTCGCTAAGGGACACTACAACTTGTTGATGGTTGACGGGCTAGGTGTCTTCGTCCGCGATTCGGGCTCGGCCTGAGCTCGCAGTTCAGGCGACGAAAAGTGTCTCTCCATTTGGTGAACCGGACAGAGCGTTAAGGGAAGTAAGCACCGATGGTTTGTGGAATCTCCTAACTTGCGACAGCTGCTACTGCTGACTGACTGACTGACTGACTGATTTGGCAGGCGATTAAAAGCTGCCTCTAACCTACCTATTAGATACATAGCCGAAAGCAAACGTGACTGAGACGTGGCAACTAAACGCTAGAGGAAGGCCCCACACTTGGATGTCGGTCCGATGTTCGCCTGATTGTTCTCTGATCTCAGAACGGACGCGAATCCGTAGTAGACGGTATACGAAGCCAAATTATAATGAAAGGTGGATTAACGACTCTGTCGAAGGCATTGCGAAGGGAAAGCATCTTAGAGTTAGTCTTTGTATGTGGCATTGTAAAAAGCCCATCTGCACAACTTTCTCAAACACTGCAGAAGTTGTGTGATCTGCGGTAGCTGCTTGAAAAGAAAGGTTTTAAAAAAATTGAAGTTTTTCTAATGGATCCTTGGCACGTCCTTAATTCATTTGCAGACTTAAACTAAGGCCGCACGTAATAAGTGCATAATACTTACTGTCAACCTATCGAGCAGTTGTGCGATGCGCAAACATGTTGCGTATGAAAGTGATCTTCGAAACCGTCTAATGCCGTAGTTTAATAGCAGAAGTGCCTGTAAATGTATTTTTTTAGATATTTCACTTAATATTTGGCCTGTTCAGAATTCACTATTATTGTTCACGTTGAATTGAAGAAAGCGGTAGAACCGTTTTGGAATACGCTCCAGAAATACTTAGCTCGAGTAGATCGAACGGTACGTTTAGTCTACCGCAGATGGTGTAGGTTGATGTGTTCCATGTAATAGACTATGCTTTCTGTCGTACCACCGCGTTGACTGCCGTCTACCATGCTGATCAAGGCGTATCGGAAATGTTTCTATAAAACTTCATCACGGAAAATGTGCTTTTGTTTTTACCAAATGTGTTAATGTAAAAAAAAATCATGCATGGCCAGAACTTCGCCCGAACCAGCATGACACACCTGTTACACAAACAATTGAATAATGAAGGGCTCTTTTTAGTATGCGGAACCAGCTAGCTTTTAATAGGCCGACAATGTATGCTAAATCGAAATAAATGCTTAGATTCAATTTAGACATTCACCGATTAACCAAAAAAAGTCTATACAATGAGAGCTGCCTAGATTACGATGGTTGTGAGCGAGTCAGCCGTAGCGTATCTACTTTAAGGGGTGTACTGTCCGGTGCATAACGCACGGCATCCTTCGTTAGACCGTATGGCTTGAGTACTCAGTACCATTGATCACGATCGGACTTTGTAGGCTATTTTGGCGAACGTCGAAAAAACCTATTTACTTGTAATACTGCATAAATTTCTTGCATAAATTTGTTGTATACATACGACTATCGATCTGCGTGTTTCGAAGGGCACACGATTATCGGAGACATTGAAAAACTATTGTGATTTTGTTAAACAAGCTTACCTGCTCTTGTGCTTGCCGTGCACTAGACCCATTGTTTTATGAAGGTGTTAATTAATCGTAGTCGCCTGTTACCTATCTGTCCCCAAAGGCTGGTCTACCACGAGGCCCATAAAATCATCTCTGAGTTGAACCTTGATCGATATTCTGTTGGTACAAACGTACTTATTTACATTAGCAACCTCCACCTTGAAAAATGTACACTCCAATATATCTGATACGAAAATTACTTTCTACCAAAATCATCATTATCGATAATTTTAAGTTCAAGATCAATTTGCCACGCACGAAACGGCTGGATGTGATCGCGCGCCTTCTACAGTGATGCCATTCTTTCGGTAAAAGATTAAAATCAACACGCTGTTTCGAACAGGCGGAACGTCACCCGCTTTTCTAACTGCAGCTGTCAGAAAAATACAACAGAACAACGGACCACAAACAGTGACAGCACACCACTTGCTATCATAAATACTGAAAATTTTTCGGTTACTTGCTGTTTTATCGAAGTACAGGGGAGACTTTTGTCTAACGCCAACACCATAATGGGTGGGGCCAGTTCGTTACTTCGAAAATTTGGTCTTCTCAAAGGTGCAAATATTACTATCCTCAATAGTGTGGATTGCAATTATATACCCACACGATACGGGTACTCCAACTCAGATGCCCCTAATATTCGCGTCTCGACAGAGCGGTTCCATTACTGTCGACCGCTCAGGTTATCTCGACATCTTCTGCCAAAGACTTCATTACCTGTTTACACAAATAGATACCGTAACAAAAAAGTGTTTCCTAATCTCAGTTAATCGTCCGCGTTGATCGGAACGACCGTTGTAGAGACGCTGATAATTTATTATCGATACGAACTGGATTTTGGCTTACCATTCTTTTTTCGTTCGTAAGTGGTCGATACGAAGTAAATGTATTATTAGCGATTACAGCGCCATTGTGCTTTTTAAATTTTGCATTATTTAACACTATCTGACACAGAAGGGAGCTACGCGACAAGTTAGGTTACCTTTCTCGTAGATCCGACTAAACAGTGAATATAGGACGTCTTACTCTCCAGGCTCGTTTTCTACTTTAGTTCTATCGGAACAACAATCTAATTTCCTCTGTTCGTTAATTTTATTTGCCTCATATAGAGTTCTGTAAGTAGAGCTGGGTATGCCTTTTTAGCATGATGTAAATGATTCTTATCGCCTATTTTTCCTGTCCTGCAATGTGATAGAATCGGATTATAAGGCGGCTGTGGCATAATCGCTGCTGGCATTGGCGGTCTGAGCCGGGGGAAAGCTAGTTCTGAGGATATGATACGGATAACGACAATATGGAGCTGTCTGGGCCGGAATAGCGGGCCTGCAATATCATGGGGGATCGACAGGACGAAAACAGAAAAAAAAACGCAAGCGAAGGCAATTATGGAACTGGGCCTATGTAGAAATGACACAGCCGCGATAAGTTAACAAGGACGAATCGGTTCGCTCGCTTAGGATCATGCGCGTCTCGGCACTGGTAGCATCACAAGGCTGGTGACACTGAGTCTGAGCCATCGAGCAAGCGTTCAGAAGTCAACGGAACATAGATGTGTATACTAGGAAATTTGACAGAGTATACAGACTTAATGACGAGTGGCATTACGGGTGTACAGACAATAGCTGACTGGTCAAATCAGCGAAGCATGCGGCAGTTGATGATGACCAGATTATTCTGATGCTCTCAAAGACCGTGTGCGTGCATCAGACTTCCGTGCTGTGTCGAAATATAACGTGGTACCCTTTGAAGTCAGGAATCACTTTGTTACGAATTCGCGGTACAGGACAAATTACCGAAAAAAGATCGATACATTTTAACGATGTTGTTTAGAAACTTGCCATTGTGCTAATATGATCTGTAACGGTAATCTGTAGCAAGTCGATGAGTAAATGGGTAACCATTGACAATATAGACATTGTAACAAATGGAAAAACACGAGATATTAGATAATATAAGAAGTATGCATTCTTATCATGCGGAGGACAGGTTTACGGATCAAATTCTCTTGTATTTTTTTGGCAAACACCTGTGATTAGCTGATTTTAGTGGATTTTTGCAAAAAAAAATCGATCCTTAATTGAAATATAATTTACATAAAATTATATTAGTAGTACAGAAAGCAGCACCTCCAGCAACGAAACAATGCAGGCCTGTATAACCTCCATAACCTCAATGATGTGAACATCAAAGTCCGAAATAGAAATTGACAACAGCCCCAACTTAAATTTGATAACGATTGAAATTATCTTTTACCGAGAGAGTAATTTTCTTAAGAATTTAGTTGCCCGACTACAGGCCCAAATTATGGCCAGACATAGAGAGAAACAACACACCTCGAGTAATCTAAGCCTCATAAGAGTGTTTTGCACATGCTGTTGGAATAGTGCCCATAGGGTAAGATCGCTGGTCGTTAACCGTGTTGGCTCGCAGGTACCATTACTGAATGTTATGTGCTTAGGCGTTTGCCGAAATTACGCAAAGTCATCGTGTAATGTATACGTATTCCACGTATGAATTGTACATGTTCCTAACATTATGACTAGAACCGAAAAAAGGGCTTGTACATCAACATCAGTCAAGGCTTCGATAGCCTCAGCGTCTCGATTTGGCCCTTCTATTATCAAATCTACCATATACAACTAGCGATTTAAATTGCATGATTTTGTATTAGGATGAACTACCTGGACCCATTAAGGGAAAAAATCAATAACTGGAATAATAGCATGGTGTTTAAATTAGGTTCGTATAGCTAACTTTGTGATGTGCCATATTTGCAATACTTTTCTTCTCAAGCGCCTTTTGTTGATACAGATGAATTAATCATCGTATTGTTTTAATGATTGGTATTACTGTGCTTCCCTTGCTAGAGAGGAGCTTGTCTAGAGGGTGACGATGTCTGCCACTTCACCGGGGGTGACACTCAGTGGGGCCTCCATTCCCGGGGGCGGCTATTTTCCTGAAACATTCCTTCAAATGAGCAAGCGAATTGCTCAGATGACACAGGTTTGTATATATAGTACGTATATCGTTTTATGATCTCAAGTCAGAAAAGTGTCAATTAAAATTTAGTTTATCACATGGGTATTAAACTGCATCATGCACCCCTGAAGTTTAGCCTTAATCCGGACTTTTATTTGCTTCCTTGTTTCCATTTGTTTTCTGGCAATTAATTAAGTTACGTTAAGTGTGATAGTGCTATGAAGCATTGCTTCAGACGCTCGAGTCCTGTCTTAAAACGTCCCATGTCTACGCCCGGTTTCGAACCTAGACCAGCGTGCATTTCCCCAAGTTGAACGTATTTGCACAAATTCATTTTACTGATCCAAATTAATTCCATTGTCAGACTAGTCACCACAACAATGAATTGGCAGAAGAACTCTAGATCTAGAGTCTTCACATAGGACCACATCTAAGACACCATGGGGTATAGTACTGCGTAACTACGAAATTAGCAATATGTTCTGTTAGATCGAGTGTAATTATAGTACATCCAAGGCCGTTCGGAACTAGAAGCGAATGGAAATTGTAACACTGGGTTATAACCCTGTTTTTTTAGATCAGTGGACGACATGACCGAGCGATCATTTTACAACGTTAAACGATCGTGGTAGCGATAACTTGTTGTAATATTCCCATTTTTCGAATTTCATTTACCATATGAACTCACTTTAGGGACACTTGTCAGTCTCTATCTCGCTTTTTTGAGTGGCTGGTTGTAATTTACCCTGTAAGAGGTCTATAATTATAGAAAGCTTATATTAAAGGAATAACTACAGCCAGTTTTATGCATTCGCGCATCGAACGCTGCGCATCTATCCTAACCTTCGCCCCGGCTAAAAGACACATAGCATTAGATCTGAGCGGTGATTATTTTTTGGGGCCACGTTGCCCTGATTTTGGTAGCGGTGGCAGTTGCCGAATCTATTCGAATACGACTAGACACGACGGGATTCGCGGCAGTTAACCTAGACAGGCAACACGACCTAGTTCTATCATCTGGCACCCGGTGCAGGATAGGCTACTCACTTCGTACAGCAACAGCAGTAGAGATGTTCATGCTTACACAGATGGACGGATAAAAGGTGCACGCAATAAGCGCGCGAAATACGAAAAAAATGGCTTATTATATGGCCTATAGAAGGCCATACGCCAACTTAACCACGGCATTTGGAAGCAACATTAACGTGCCACCAGGACTAATGCAGGTTAATCGTAGTGGCCGCACGAGACCCAGTCAGCCAGCCAGCCAGCTAGCTAGCCAGTTGCTTTGTTTAAGAGCGCTCGCAATCGACGAACGGGTTGAGTTGACCTCGACATTTTGTTTTATGAAAAGCTCTTTGTATAGTGCTATTGTCTAATGGCTTTACATTGTGGGTTTACAGCAGTCGCGATGGTGAAAGAAGCACTGGGTGTTCTCCTGCTGCTAATACAGTATAGCTATAAAGCTTATTTCCCTCGTGTCGGTGGTAGAAGTATTTCTTTGCCGTTACGCCGCAGAGATTTGCCCACGAAGTAAGAAACACGGCGATATATATAACGACAACTGTACAATAGCGAGTGTATCTCCCTTTGACACAAACAAAGGAGCAAAACTGGCGACGAAATTAAAAAAAAATGATTGGTCTTTCTGTTCTAGATAGCTGTGTATGTTGGGCGTAATGCGTCATACATTCGGCTGATGTGATCAGGCACAAGAAGCTCCTTTACTTATCATCTCACAAAGGCCTAAAGCAGGCACTGATTAATAATAGAAACATAGATTGTTTGTAACTGTTGTCATTAGGCGTGCAACTAGTTACGTAATAATAATATATTTACGTGCTGCGATATTGGCTCGGGCATGAGCCAAATCCTGTGTACAATGTGGACAAATTCCAGGTATTGAAAAACGTAAAGGTAGATCATTTAGTTTAGTCAAGCTAGCTGGCCTTTAGTACTGATCATTTATTACCAATGTTTAGGTTCTGAACGAACACCTTAGGGCGTATATGCTTATGAATCAACCGATCATATATGTCGCTCGATCTATTCCACGGTAAACGCATGCTGTAATATTATAATTAGATTATCCAAGACGCCTTTCTGGGTGGCGTTTAACGATTGCTTGGCCTAAGTGTGCGTAAAATAATCGGGAAACAAGTGCACCATCGATGCGTTGCGAGACAGCGACGTGTTGAAATATTGGTTCTGGAGGGACTACAAACTAACAACACGCGTTCATGCTAAAGTAAACGAGGCACGATACCACACTGTTCCACTAGAGTGTGCAGAGTCTAAATTTATCTTAATAGAGCCAATAGATAAATGCATGTTTCCCGCCAGGTGTGACAATTTTTTAGCAGTTGTTTACGTTTAAGAGTGACCGTTCGAGACGTTTGCTTTCGTAGCTGATAGTTTTAGTCATATATTTATATTTTAAATGTAAACAAGGTGAGGGGGCAGTATATTGTTTCTCTGTAGTAGTATCTAGACTTTTCTATGCGTAGCACAATGGGAGGTTGTAGATAATCCTATATGATCCACTGATTGTCAAAGATAGATATTTAATGGCCGTAACTTGACCTACAAGTCGATAGCGTAGGCCTATTTCGGCGTTTTACATTGAGAAACGGCAATTGGTTAACGGTTCTTAAATACGAATCGAAAAACAGCCAGCTTCATCAGTGCGTTGCATTACCTAAATATGCGTCAGGACAAACGTAGGCAATGCAACGTACGTCGCGGTCCCGAAGCTGTGTTACGATTACTTTAGACGTAAGCGAAATTTTGATTTACTGATAGCACAACGAAGAACATAAGTAACGGGGCCTGTTGTTAGTAGTCCATCTGTCTTCCGTTTGACGTATTTGATAGTAAGTTCTCAAAACGAAGCCATTAGCTCATGTATTCGTTAGGCGAAGCGTAATATTTGTACGCTGTTGATGATGCACTATCTTTTCTTGAAGAGTATTATTGTAAAAAAAAACATATTGTGATCTATATTCAATGATAAAGCTAACGGATTGTTTCCTCTGGTTATATCATTCGTAATATGACATGATTTTAGCTAATTTACACATGTACGTAATGGGCAAAATAATGTAATGGGCTAGCTTTTTGCTACGCATAGCTGTACAAAAATGTGCGTATTCTTGAGGGGTATCTTATCTATGTTTATCAGCTTCTTATATCAATCGTATATGGGCTTAACTCAAAACGCTGCGATGTATCTAAGACGAATCAGAAGAGGATGCCTTTATATGTCCATTTGAACTAACGTACCCACCTCTGAATGCAGGTAATCTACTCATTAAACAACAAGATTGAGGTGCAAGATTTAGCACTGCATGCTATCAAGGAGCACTACGAAAATTCACTCAAAAAGTGTCTATATGACGCGTCGAGTCAACAGCAAAAAGTACGAGTCTTTTTTTCTTTCATACGCAAATCAACACGCTAAAGTTAGCGAGATGACATTTCACAATAAACTCCAGCTCCGACATCCCCCCTCCTATTTAAGCAAAAAGAAGCCGATTTTTTTAACACTTCCTTTTACATTAAAGGCCCTCCAATATTACGAATTACCGAAGGTGCCGTAGTTTCAGCTGCCTCCTACAGCAAGGTCTAGAAGTAAGGTCCGTGTGGCCATGAGAGCTAACAACTTGAGCAGGAACTTTTTCTAATGTGTCTAACGACAATCGTTTGATTTATTAATAGATAGTCATGAGCGCTACTTGCATATCACCACGAAATAGATCCTTCTTGTGGTAATTCATTCCGTTAGTTATCCCGAGGCTAAAATGTCAAACTGTGACGCCTTCGAAAAGGACCAACGATTATGGCGCGTCAACTTGGTCCTGTTCACCTGTTAACAGTTTTCTAGACGGCTTCGTTTCGATTTCAGAACTATACAATGCTGTCCTATGGAGCGATTGGTAACTACTATACAATTAATATCACAGTGAAAATAGAAACCCGAGCAGTAACCTTAACAATCATTTGTCTTTATTGCTCCGGTCACCGACAAACAGGCCGACGATACGCATCGATTGGCATCTCATGTTCAAATGCTGGAAATGCAATTAGCCGTAGAACGGGAGAAACACCGCAGGTTACAGCAGCCGCAGCAGCAGCCGCAGCAGCAGCAATCGAGCTTATTCGAGCAGACGACCACAACACCTATCGCTACGCCACCTGTAACTAGAGATCTCGCCATGCTCTTTCAGGAACTGAGAGGTTTGTTCTTTTACACCTGAGCGTCGTAAAAGACAGTAGTCCGCAACGAATCGTGCGGAGTAGCCATCTACGTAATCACTTGCACGATTACGTTTAAAGGCGGCAAAGCGTTAACTTGAAACGCCGCAAGCGCATTTCCTTTTGCATAAACAATGCTCTTAATTGGCTAATCGGCTGAGAGCAAACGTCAACAGCTTTCCATATTTGGAGCTTCGATCTAACTTGCGCGTCTTAACGCTACCATAGTAATTACCAATATTTGTCTAAAAAGAACTTAAATTATCGATATAAACATGTAGGATTAGCTGTATGTATTACGAAGCAGGCAAACTACAGGATGAAAGACTCGTTTAGCGCATTCCCTATTAACGGGCTAGCCACGAATCTCGATACCCAGATATTATGGGAATTTCCTAGCCAAATCGTGGCTTCTACAAAATAATACTTCAATTTAATACCAGCGCCACATACATTTGGACGTCAAGTAATTACATATATATATAAACCAATTACGAAAATTATTCTCATCAAAAAGTCAAATATAGGCCATCGTTTCATTGCTTCCATGCGCTACGAAGGCCAAGAAGGTGATGTAGATTATGCTAAAACAAGCTAGCTTTGCTAATATGCCTAATTACTAAGAAGTCTCCAGAGTACTAAGGCAAGTTTAATCAAGATATCCTAATAGTCATAAAGGTTATATTAGATGTCGGTAATAAATGAGATGGCATCATTGAGGATTTCTCGGCCGCAAAAAGCATACGGAGAGCTGTTTACGAGGTTTTACAGGACAGGCCGATCACCTCCTGACTTTACGTCCGTTCGTACAAGAAACGTACATAAATGAATGCAGGTGTGAGCGAAGACAACCCCCTAACATGCCTGCAATAGGGGCGCCCTTATAGCGTCTCCTTATTTCTTTAATACTTTAATTTATTTTAGACACGTCCTAATGCCATGGCATTCACAGGAATACAAATATTTTATTGGCAAGACCCTCCTACGAATGCATTATACAGTTAGAATTTCTGCCTGCGTATTTTTTGCCACTTCATTAAATGTGAAATACTCTGTATAAATATATAAATGTGAAATTGTCAAGATACTTTTTCAGACTGTCGAAAAGCTTCGTTCTTGATCTGTACGTTTGAGTACAATTTGAACTCCGCTTTTATAAGAATAGTAACATAAAATCCAATAAATAAACATAAGGCCTAACTACGATTAGCATGAAGCTCGTCAATCCTTAAATTGGTGTTAGATGTTTCACTAGACGTTTGTCTACTATTTGTATTGCATCTTATTGTAGATAAAGAAACCGAATTTGAAAAAAAATTAAGTGAATTCGAGCATTTGCATAATGAGATGGCAGCTTTTTCGTCCTGCGTGACAGCCGTGCCAACTTCAGATAGGTCCAACAACGTCGACAGCGCCTGTTGTAGCACCGCAGTCGACAGCAGCGCCATTCAACAAGGGTCATACGAAAAACATCATGTACTTCTAACAACAACGACTGATTTCGAGTAAGTACAGCTGCTTGTTAGAATTTTCATTTGAGACGTCCACCGCAAGGTGCAGCAACTTGCGCCTAGTTCGAGAGTAAACCTGAATGAAAAGAGTAAATCGATCTGGACATGGATACTATTGCATAAACGATTGATACTTAATGACTCGTGATACGTGGTCATACTCGTACACGCAACAGCCTTTGCACTTGCAACGGTACGATGTAATTCCTTCTGAGGATGAATTCTCTTGGGCAAAAACTTCTAATGACTCCAGAGAAGCGTATATGAACTTGGCGCCTGCGTTACTAACCGTAGGCTCATTAGATCATGGGGAAATTTTGTTTGAATACTGCTTTCGGTGGTCGAAGGACTTGATACAAACTTTCAGGATAAACGAGCTAATCTAGACAAAGTGTTTCACAGCCTATGTAGTCGATTCACCCTTTGTGCGTACACGGACGACGCAAGTGCTTCAGCCAAGGCTAAACAACACATTGATAACCTGGCAAAAACAAAATTAATTATTTTGCAGGTTATCGGAAGACGCGATGGCGGCGGCCTGCCTCAAACGAAAACGCAACGAGACGGCGAATAATCCCAGCGCTCTCGTCAAAAGTGGACCTTGTTCAGGTAATAATAATAGCAGTATGAACTTACTCACCTTAAGAAAAATTTATGAACTTATCTGTTAAATGACCATTCAATGAATTTTAACATTGTCTGGCTTCTGCAGTATCGAAATTAATTGCACAGTTCTCGACGCGTAACGAGGACCCGAAAGAGGTTAGCGATACCTCAGCAAATGTTGCTGCTTCGCTTTCGCCGTCGCCGTCGAGTGGTGTCAAGCTCAAAGCTATTAGCATTGACAGGAACAACTTCCCTAAGGTAGGATTATTACTCGACTGGAAAATTATTCATTTGGCTAAGTAATTTCTATATTGGGATAATAACATCAACATAAGCCGTCAGAGGTTAACCAACTCATTTACATAAAGGACTACTTTTAATAAAATACATTTGTATATTTATGTTAATATCCTCACACTATATGTCGGCTAGTATAGTCTAAAGTAACAGTAATAACAGAATACAATGCAGAAGTGCAGAAACTCTTGTTTTTATCCAAAAATAGTTTTATTAGAAATTTTGCGCTAAGGAAGGCTTGGACAGTTTGTACGATAAAACCACTTTTTTGCAAATTCAGACTCATAAACATATGTTCAGACAAGATTGTATATATTCTCCAAAATGTACATCTGTGGCGCAATACTACTTTTAATACAATCCTGTTTTGAATTCTGAAGTTTAAATTAAAAAAATGCATCGTGTTGAGACTGTTTACTTACTGTAGGGGATAGTAAATTTACAATTATACATATATATATATATATATATATATATATATATATATATATACGTAATTTTTAATAAATATAAAGAATATTAAAATAGCTGAGACAAAACATTGTTACTATCATTATTACTATTGAATAATTATCTGGCGACGATGATTTTTTAAAAATTTCTTCGACAGACCGGTCGAATGGATATCATTGCATGAGACGGCATCTCTTGCTTTTGGCTAATTATTCAGGCTGGGTTAGTGGTGGTTACACAACTGGACAAAAGTAGATTATATTTATCTGTCGAGTCAGTTCCTCTCAGCTTGCTGTCTTCCCTATCTGTTATATATATGTATATATATATATATATAACTATTAATTTACTACTATATTAGGTGTACGGTTGTGAAATTTATTTCTGAGAATCGGTATCTGAGAAGAAATCTTTATCAAGCTTACGAAATTATACAACAATACATGTATAGTTATCTCTTCGTTCTAACATCATTTTCTATAAAATTTCAATAATTCTTGTGTTCTTATTACATGTGGGTCTCTTAAATTTAGTAAATCTTGGCGGAAACTAACGGGCTTCCGTTTTAACTCACGAGAGTGTAGCGGCTCAGTTTTAGTACCTGACCTCTGACCTTTCGCCCAGAATTGCATCAACAGGTCGAATAGAGCTAAGAATAACACCCCCACTTTGGTGAGAAAAAGTTCTTGATTTACATCCATTATTACGAGTATGATCTTAGGGGAACGTTGCGTACCTTTCACATATTTTACCGGTTCTTTATAATCGACCATATCGCGCCTTCGTTTAGCTTTTGTTATTGACAACTGGCCAACGTCCTTACCACGTTCTCGCCAGCGAGGGAGAAAGCCACGGGGCACGTGCCTTAGAAACGCCGCCCGCCTGAACACGATTATCATCGCGGTGGAGCTAAAGAGACCCGCCACCTCGTCCGCCTCGGCGCCTTAGTTCCCGATATTCCTTAATTTTGCAGTAGCAGTTACTACTGAGTCGAGTTGTACGACACCTGTCAGATGCCTGGCATTCGAGCTGAACATCAGCAGCTATCAATAATAAATATGTGCTTGAAATATCGTACTGGAGCCTCTTATAGCTAGTAAACAGGCATCGTATCATGAGTGAATATACAGATTACTACATAACTAGTACACGAAAGACGATTAGGAGAAGACACACTAAAACAATACAATTTCAAATATCGTCGGTATATGACAAACAAATAATACTATGAACTTCTTCAGCTTCTAAAGAATACATTTTGTTGAGATCCTGAAGCATGAACGCTGAAAACGTTCATTTTAGAAAACGTTTTCAGGAAAAGGGAGTGGAGCATCATTCATCGTGTTCAGGGTAGCCTTGCCAAATGGATTGTTCCCTAAAAACGAAGCTCACTTATCGGATCAAGATCATGCAGACAGGGTAGACTCGCACTCGCTAACGGCTATGTACACAATTAGAGCGTGCTCGTAATTCTCATATGGCGAGAAAGATGCAAATGGCGACACTAAATTTCCACCAATTTCTTTTATACAAGGTAAAACAAGCGCAAGATATTGCGAGATAGCGGTGGCTATCTGGCAACTAAAAGTCAAACTTCTAGCAATAAGCAAGGTGTGCAAATCATGTACACCTAATATATAATAGCTCCATAGTTTGTTTCGCATGAGAAAGGGTCCGGCTCCAATAGTACGCGGAATATAAATCGTAAGTTAATTGGAGCTGGCTATACGGAAGACATTGTTCCCAGGTAACCTGTTGTCTTTAGTTGACTGTTCGTAAATTGCCATTTTCCTCATTCTAGCACTTATAATATCGTGCAAAAGGCGACGTCTTGGTACGTTGGATTTTTTGGACGCACCACTCGCAATCAGATGCCAACATCTCGATTAGACGTAATCGAATTGATAAACCTAATGGAAGATATGATACTCTTCGTCAACTAGCAACGCTTGCTCCAGTCAAGCTACGTCGAATTCTAAGAAGATGCCTTCTAAATAAGCTGTTATTCTCTGCTATAATTCATACATCACTGATACCTCAGTAGCCTTCATCCGCAGCGGTTACGCTGTCTACTTGTGACGAAAGATCCGTATAGAACCTGGAGTAGGTGGTTAACGCCTGTAGAACTGTATCCATCTAAATCAGGGGAGGTTCACGACTGATTTTTCATACGTCCTACTGAAATCGTAAGCTGACCTACGTAGACAAGCTTGCAGACAGAGAAACCGCAGTCAGTTGTACTGAAAAGTTCAGCTCACGCCAGATCGATAAACGGATCTGAAAAACTCTGACAGCGGCAACCCGAACTTTTATCCCTCCGGGGCGCTTTTGGCCCTGCGAAAACCTAAAGGTATCACAAGGTGCAGCCTACTGAATAATATTTCTGTGAAAACAGATTAGTACAAAGTAGCTGATGCGATTTGATACGCTTGAAGTATGATGCTTCTGAAAAAAGTTGCGGCTACACGCTTCAACCACATCAGCTTACTTACTTACTCTGCGGCACTTATTTTGTCTTGGCAGGACATAAGAAAACTTCATAGTCCGATGATGCAGTGCTAGTGTATCGGCCTGCTATAGTTAGGATCATTCGAAGTCATCTAGGGTCAAGCCCAGCCATCACCCGAACACTTGAAACTGGGCTCGGAGCCATCCATCTATGAGAAATACATAGCGTCCGTACTAGGACAAAAAATTTCAAACACATATTTTCCCGTAGGTCTCAAAATTTATTGAATTGATAGGAGTGTGCGATGATAAAATGATTAAAATTGATTCGGAAACAAACGATTCCCGAAGCAGCTGTACGCACGAATTGTTGTTATATTGTGTGTACTATTAACGGTATAGTGTATTGTGTAATGCTTACGATGCACTGCAAGTCCAGCCGATTTCACAACGAGTCCTGTTTTTTTTTTGTAATTCGGCTTATCCTGAAAGCTATTATAGTAATTACGTTGGGTAAGGTAGCCCACTTATAGCTGCGTGCCTCATGATTTTCCTCCTTGTTATACTTGTTTGCACCTTGACACATTTAGGTAAGTGACAACCGAACCAATTGTACCACTTGTCGAATGACCTAAACATCGGCAACGACAACAGCAGCACTATGAAAGCGTCTGTACCTCAAAGTTGACGTGGATTGATCTGAATGTTTTCATTCGAATCGCATGGTCATCTGGAACCTCGATGCCATAGAAACCCAATTAAAATTAGGGTCCAGCTCTGTTTGTGCCGGCTAGCTTTTGTTGTCATTACTTTAAGTTACTTTCGAACTTTTTGTTCTACTTGTGAGCTATATACATATATATATACACTGCAGCATGTTGAAGAAGCTAAAGCGGAAGTTCCTAGTAAGTTGTTCATTGGTGACACATGCTTTGAAAGCTAACAAATCGCTATAACCATAGAGAACAAAATGGCGTATTGCTATATCTACGCTGTATTATTAAGAGTTTTTCTTCAACTTGTTGCTATTGCAGGGTGGGCATTTTTCCAGAGGAGAGGAGCTGATCAAAGCTAGAGGTAAGTCTAAATTGAAGAAGAATTGCCAATCGTAGATACTGTTTAGAGATTACAGTGTCCCGTCTTCTCTAGACCATGATAAACTTATTGTACATCTGCTGTTGTCTACCATCCGTAGCACGCATCAGTAGACAGCGTTCCAACCTAATGGGTATATATTTACTTGACAATTTATATTGGCGACGACTGAATCGAAGTGTAAAGTTAAACTGTTCAGGGCAGCAGAATGCCCCAGCGTCATCACTGCGATTATGTTCCGCTAGAATTATCCGACATTCGAACGTTTGAAACTTTTCGAAAATGTCCTCCGGGCAGAGCGTTCTAATGAAGCTCCATTTTGAACATTTGATAGAGAAGCTATTTTTTTAATATGAAATGGAAAAAATATAGTGTTTTCGGCTACACATGTTTTGTGAAAAGGTTTTCTTACGTATTATTTCATTATGTTTCGCTTTATTCAACTAGCAAAACTGTTGTCCTATCTTATCCGGTTACCTATATATTATATAGCCATTGTTGTGTTTTTACAAATTATCTACCTATAGCAAACAGCATTTTTCCTCGATGCTTTTCCAACATGGGAGCTTTGTACGAGATGACATGGAACGCACGTAGTGATTGCTACGTTTATTCCGTGTCTCGATGAGGACTTCATATGACACAGTCAGCTGGCGTACCTGAAGTGTAAAGCAGCCATAAGCTCTTCAACTGGTCGTAATGCGACTATTTTTTTATTGCCGGTGACATACACTATAGAATAAAAAAATAACATAACAGTTATAAGTCTCGTTATATCTCTCAGATTCAATCAGTCGAAGGGTCTCTGCTTTCCAATGTTTTCCCTCATGATAATCTCATACAAACCTTGTAATCGGATGGTGGCTTGTTTAGGTAACCGCTTAGGACAGATTATCAATTGTTTTTTGTTTGTGGGTCTTTCCTTAGTTGTGGTTTCACAGCAAATGACCAGTGAAGTTTGCATTGACGGAGGACTGATTAGGCCTACATGTCTAAGTACATATTTAAGTATGCAAACAAAAGATAGTGCACAAGTTACATAGACATTGACAGTTTCATAACAAACAACTGAGTAGTTATGTGACGTTTCGGATACTATTAGATAATAATTATTATTATTATTACACTTCAGTCTTCTACTCACACAGCAGTTGATTGATTAATATTTGCTCCGTGTAATTCGTTATTTATTTTACTTTGTACTAGGGACATTATAATTAAACAATAAAAAATAATGAAGGACATTATAAAAAAATTAAAGGCTAATGCATCATACAGGACAGGCTTTACTGGTGATGTGCTCTTCTTGCACTGTAGAGCATTCATCCACTAAAATCCACAGCACTTGTACCCAGTTAATTTCATTAACCTGCGTGGCCCAGCCATGGAGTCATACCTAACTTTAACTACGAACCGGCCTACTGCAACTGCTGTTAACGTTTTTTCTTCACAAAAAAGTATCAATACGTAAGGAAAGATTACATCGTTTTAGCTTAAGAGGGAGCCCGAATGTTTAGCTTTGGACGCGAAGCCCGTTTGTCAGTCTCCGTCGATGTATTCGAGAAAGCCAAAGCAGGTACATGTAAACAGATCAGGCAAATGGCCTTAGCTAACAAACCTTTCGATTCTACAAACATGTCTTCGGTTGGTTCGTGTGTCTTTAAAATCGTATAAAATCTCAATTTTTGTGTTGAGTGTTTTGTCACGCAAGACCTGCTAACTCTCTAAAACTAAACCTTAGTCATCTTACCTGCTTCTGAAGCCTTCCTCGTGCCTGGCCAGTCTTACATCACTGCTCGCAAATATTTAGTTAGCCGGAGCTTTTGCCGCCCGTCCGCTTACCCACTGTTATTCAAGGATTGCACAGCAGTTCTGACTCTGTGGCACACCGCGGCCTACAGTTCTGCGTGGTAATGGCCTATCGTGGCCAGGCCATGATTATCACTCAACGTCGATTCAATTCGCCTACCGCTAATTGATGCTTTTCCTCACATTCTGTTGCTCATTTGACGACGATGACGATAAGAACAGATTTGCCCTTCTGTTTCGGATACCTTCTTCAAAAATGATTCGGCCGTTTTAGCAGCTCATCCTGTGACGACAGCATCAACTGCAGTCGCCTATTAATACGTGTCTAACGTACGCATCCTGCATGTGTGTATGTCTGTGCTTGTCAGCTTGCTGGCGTGGGGCCAAAGCAGCCTGCTACGTATAGGCCTGTATGCTTTCGCCTGCTGCTCATAGCCTTTCGTTTTTCCTCCTCTCCCCTGAAGAAATGTGGACCTGGATGGCACGAGGCAAGATTTCTGAAAACAACTAGCGCCGCTGCACCTTTGTGAGATCTTCTTTACCACACTGAACTCCGCTGAATCGCAAGCTTACAACAGCCACGTCGTGTTTGCTTCCCTCGATCGAAGAACAGGAAGAGCTTGGGAGCGGCTGCTGCGACCAGTGACGATCATCACCTCTTAGCCGATCCGATGGTGACGAAATTAACAAATCAACGAAGTCTGGAACACAAAAATTACTGAAAAATAACAATAATAAGAACAATGTAGCTTATTTAGAGACGAGATCAACCGAGTTGGTTGCAACCGATTACCATCAAATGTACGTCGTCGCGAATCATACGGTTATTGGTGCGCTCTCGTTGTGGTCGTATGAAATCAATTTCGTTAGAAATTTTCTTCAGCCAACAGAGGCGGCTGACGATTGTTGCGCACTGATAACAATTTGGTCAGCTGCCATGACGAAACGCCTCGATACACCGAAAAGTAATAAAAGGATAGGAACAACTACAAAATCGGCCGAGACTGCTCAGTGCATGTGCGAAGTGTTAAAACGCGGGCGACAGGTGTTTTGTCATCAGCGATAGACATTGAAATCTTGCCCCGCAAAATTAACGACATCTCAGCCAGCGACAGCAGCACGCGTATTGCTACGAAAGCACGGCAAGGGTAAAATTGTAAAGGCAAAAGCTTAGGAAACAAAGCGAGACGTGTCATTACCCTCACTTCTTTCGTAGGTGACATCTTTTACTGTGACTGGGTGTTTGTTTGTTTGTTTGTTCCCGCTTCTTTTCTATTCCATTCTTTCCGTTATTTTGTGGTAAGGCCCTATCGAGGCTCCGACTCTTTGTTTGTTTAATGCGCTCGTGCCCGGGGCAGGAAAATCGCTCTGTCCTATCCTGTGTTTGCGGTTTTATCATGGGGGTCTACATAGACACATTTTCTTTTCGGAGCTGGAGGTCAGGCGTGCCGCTTGCCTATTTCTTTCTCTACTCGATCAAAGGTAATTCGTTATGTAACTGCTTATAGTCAATGTTCGAAGTGGTGCATGAGAATTGTAAAATTATCAATAAATGTACGGCCGAAGAATGGAGTAGATGGTAGCACCGAGGGCCTAAACCAAGGTCTCCGCTTCTAGTCAGGTTGGGCTTACACGGTACTATATATTAATAAAGCAAATTATTACACTTCCTTAAATCCTGTTTATGTTAGCTAGCAAGTAATGACATCTTGCGAATAATGAAAATTTAACTGTAACTCGAATCTAGCGTAAAAAGCGACAGCTGATTCGACGTTGGGTGTACGTTATTGAAACGAGCGAGGTATTATGGGTGTCGGACCCAAGGCAAACTGCCAAGTGGAAGGAACTTGAGCGCGACGAAGAACGGTTTAAAGTCGTGCAGACGTTTTTATTATTTTATCATTCGTAACTTATTGTTTACGTTATTATTATTATTATGGCTGTCCTCTGTATTAGAATAAAATGATAGATCATCGTAGCGATCACTCGTTGCATATTTTTTTCTTGTTCTAGCTAAAGGCATAGGAAAACACAATCTGCTATAAATGTTGACCAAGCTGATTTTTCGGCTCATTATCTATCAGCCCAATAAACATCTCTATTACAATGTACGATGCAAAAGCAAGTACTGTTATTCTAAAAAACATTAGATAGTATTGGATATATCAATACGTCGCTCACTTATACATGGCCGATATTCTTATTGTGATTGAACCAGAGTTCGTTTCTCTGTGAAAGATTGATCGTGCATAGGCTAAATATCTATTTAAGACAAATCGGTATGGGTTACTCTTCTGTGTCGTACCAAGCGAATCAACGTGTTTTCCATTTTACACAGTTTCGTCGAATGAAGGCTGTTGTTGACCCATTTTTAAATTACCCAATTATAATGAGTTAGCTCCTTATGATCGGGTAATGCGTCGAGCTAATTTCAAACAAGGCCAATATGCAAATGAAAACGGATGTATAGGAAGGCAAAGCGTGGTATCAAGGGTGGGGTCGCATAACCTGTAGAAAAGTGAACTTTGTTCTTGTGAGACAAATAAATTATCACGCTTTCAAACGTTTTTATAGTCAATCATACTTAAAATTTAAATGTGCCTTAACCCTTTAAGTAAGTAAGAGGCGCACAAAAAAACCGTCTATATACCAAGCAGTCGTTCTTTTTATTCGGAAATTATCTTTTACCATTCATATTAATTTCTGGGTTGCTAAGCTAGTCACCGTACGCAGATAAAATGGTCATTTTTTCCTTTAGAAGAGGAAACTAGCAACAAGTCGCTAATTTAAATGAGTTATATATGTGCATTAAATGATACAATTCCGTCGCTCTGTGTTTGATGGGCCTCTTTGAATAGCGGCACGTAGGGAAAGTACTAGTGTACTGGATATGCGCTATCCTAGCCTTGAAATGCACGAATTGATCCTACCACCGTACCTGAGAGGAGACCGGCCCCTTCACTAATCTCAGCCTTGAAAAGATGATCTTGTTAAGCCTATAACAACTCTGCTTTCCTGGACTATGGGACTAATAATTGAATTTTCTCACTCGCTCTCAGGTTTTTAACCTATTACAGTGTGATTGCATAGATTAGACGATGACGACCAAATTGCATAGTTTTTTGTTTTCAAGGGCAGTAAGCTTTTTCAGAACCAGCAAGCGTTGTGAGTCT